TTCTTGAACAACAAACGTATTGAGCCACAGAGATACTATGAACTTAAAGAAAAGGATGTACTCAAATTTGGGTTCAGTAGCAGAGAATACGTCTTGCTCCACGAGTCGTCAGACACTTCTGAAATAGACAGGAAAGAAGATGAGGATGATGAAGAGGAGGAGGAAGTGTCTGACAGCTAGCAAACTAAGAACCTAAATTATTGAGACACCTTTTCCTTCTTGGAAGGCTTTGACTCAGCACTGTGGGGCTCTCTGTAATGCCTCTTAATGCCTTAAGTCTTTCCTCTGTTGCTGAACAGCTTATGTTACAATTTATGAACACTGACTTATGTTTTGTTGAACTTTTTTCTGGGGCACATCAGCCACATGCCTGGGGACATTTGTTTTCAGAACAGTCTCACCAATTACAGCACATCCGTGTTTTAATAGAAGTGTTGTGGATTTAGCTGGTGCTTTCAGAACTGCCTAGGAAACTGTAAACCCTTGGTTAAGGGGGAATTATGGCTTGTTCTCTTTGTACAGTTAACTTTATTTATATAGTTGTTACGCTTTGTGGACCAGGTGTTTTTGTTTTGGGGGCAAACCCCTGAGCAGAGAATCTGACTAAGCTTTGGTTATCACCAAAACAGTCTCCACTATATACCAAAGCTTTGACCTGGTTGAGCTCTTGAGTCATATGTAAGTTGATTTTGCACTTAGTTTTTTGGGGTGGGAATTCACTGCAGCCAATCAACATTATTGACTGTTTAACTTAAACAGATGCTAAAGTACCTGCTTAAGCCCACAGACTGTACAGAAGGATCATGGCGACTACCAACGGGTGCTGATTTAATGTCACAGAAGAGTGAAATGGGTTGTGGATCTGTTCTCCATGAGAGAATCCCTGATTTCTCCATGGAGCATGTACATAACAATTTTGATCATATTAACTGTTGTTCAATTTTGTGTTTTTACTCAAATGTTATCTCCTTTTTTCCTTGAGAAATACACTGTCACTTATGTGGCAGGGTCTTTATGTTATTCTAACAACGTGTGTATATGTCTAAAGGAAGTTGTTTTGTTTACATATTTCTAAACATTTCATCTTTAAAAAAATTGTTCAGAGGTTGTATTTACCTTCCCAAGGCTGGAAAGCAGGGGAATTTCCCAGTTTTCCACCAGAGGAATATGTGTAAGTAGAAGAGTATTGACTGCTTACATATAGTGTGTATGTATGTACATATATAAATTGTGTGTTAAAGAGCCGATACTGATTTTCGTATGACAATGTTAGGCAGAGGCCTCCCTGCATTTGAAGAGCAGGTTTTCATTTATATGTATTTTGGGATAGAAAATAAAATTTATAAATATAGCCCCATTTCAAAGAGTAATACTTTCCTAGCATAGAAGACCTTGTGTTCATAGGTCTGTTTGCTGCTAAAGGAGACTTTGTATATCTGTTTTTTTAAGATAAAAATAGATAACTGTGTAGGGTATTGTGGGACAGGTTATATGTAGTTGACCTTCATATCGGTGAAATGCCAGTCCCTGCTGTTTCATCTTCAGGCCGGTGATGGTGGGGGGGATGGGTTGGGGAGAAAGGAGATGACACAACTCAATCAGTGCTGCTACTGACTGTTCCCTTTGGGTTGAAACTTCTGATGCTATTAAATTAGATTATCTTCCTTTCAGTTGTTTTTACATTATGGTCTCACATACCTGTGTGCTCCGGGCTAAAGGTTGGCCAATGTGGGGAGGGGCAGCTAATTTTCATTCAAAAGAAATTAAAAGATCCTGCTTGAAGAGTGAACACTTAATAAGGTCATTACATGAAAGGTAAGATAAAGGGTGTATTCTACATTGGCCACCATAACTGCTATTTTCCTCACTTGGGTATGTGCCATTGATCACATATTACATATGTGCATGTCTGAAAAGTAGATTTTGATGAATTTTTTCTTGATCCAGAGTGATAGTTTTCGCTCTTCTGGGATTAGACACTAGTCTGGTATCTCATTTCAGGGCCTCCTTGGTCAGTCTGTGCTGCTACTACTGCTTCCTGGTAGCCTTGGGCTTTGCTTCAAACACCATCTTGGTGGGCATTGTGCTAGAGGTCCTGACTGTATAGTTAACTTTTGCTTTAGTGGGGGAATAGTTTCCTGGATTAAGAGATTTTTCATGCTACACATCTGGAGAGGTGTTCTTTTGTTTTTGTTTTCCCCTTCCCACCCTTTTTTTGAACAAAGAACATCAAAGCAAAGATACTACTCGTCTCCAAAGTGCGATATCACCAGCAGACTTCTCATGTGAAGTTGACATAATCCTGAAGCTTTCTTCTTGAATTAATGCATTCTGATTAGAAACGCGTGCTCATCTTAGCTATTTGCACCTTCATCGTTACCTTTTCTTCACTGTCGGTTGTTTACAAGTCATTGTCAAAATCAAACTGTTTTCAAAACAGCCCTTTGCTTCTGAGCCCTACCCCTAAGTCTTCTATGGTGGTCCACAGTTCTGCAGAGGCATGGGACAGAATCTTCAGATTTTCCTCCTCGAGTATGTTCCTAGATGTATCCTGGTTCCCTCATTCTAATTTTGACAAAGGAAAGCTCATCAGGTGCAACTGGTGATGTAACTTTCAAATACCTTTATTGTGTCCTGGTGATAAGCTAAAGCAGAAATAATCAATTGAGATACTAGAAGATTTTTAAACAATTTTTTAAATTGTATTAAGTATGCCAATATACAATATAGCTTGGTTTTAAAAAGCTTAAAATTTAAGTATATATTTCAGGTTGATTATCATTTGATACATTGCACAGATGGTTATATTTTTTAACATCCTTTCCATTATAGACATTAGTTGTGCATCTGAGGAACAAAATGATGGCATGTTAATTGGAATCTAAATGTGACACAACACGCCAGCAGTGTTTGCTTGTGAAATAATGTTCTGAGCCCACATGTTCCTGGGTATGTGAGTTTATGTCAAGTGAAAGGCTACTTAATTTAAATTAAAGCTTTGGAATTTAAAGCTTCATTTGGTCTCCTGGGTAAAGTTTTCAGTATATTTTTCAAATCGGAAACAATTTTAAAAGAGTTGATTTGTTCACATTTACTCTAAAGTGAGTTAATCCAATCAACAGTCGCATAAGTTTGTGCAGTTGATTTACAGCTGTGATTTGGAATTCTGGACCAATAGCCGAGCATGGTGGCCATACTCCCAACTACTCCGGAGGCTGAGGCAGGAGGATCACTTCAGCCCAAGAGTTTAAAACCAGCCTGGGCTGGGTGCAGTGGCTGACGCCTGTAATCCTAACACCTTGAAGGCCAACTCGGGAGGATTGCTTGAGGCCAGGAGTTTGAGACCAGCCTGAGCAAGAGCGAGACCCCCATCTCTATTAAAAATATAAAAAATTAGCCAGGTGTGGTGGCTCATGCCTGTAATCCCAACTACTCAGATTGAGCCAGGAAGATGGCTTGAGCCCAGGAGTTTGAGGCTACAGTGAGCTATGATCATGCCACCGCACTCCAGCCTGGGCAACAGAGCAAGACCTGTCTCTTGAAAAAAAAAAAAATTTTTTTTTTCCTCAAGAAATGAAGCTACCAGTCTGAATGAAAAAGACAGCATTTTCAATCTGAAACTAGGGAAATTAGTCAGATCTAAGGAACAAACAGAAACTGTCTCGTTTAGAAGATGGCTCTTAAAGAACCAAATTTCAGAATTTTTATCAATTGTTGGCCAGGTGTGGCGGCTAATGCCTGAAATCCTAGTACCATGGGAGGCTGAGACAGGAGAATTGCTTGAGGTCAGGAGTTTGAGACCAGCCTGAGCAAGATCGAGACCCCTGTCTCTATTAAAAATATAAAAAATTAGCCTGGCGTGGTG